AGGCAAATTTTACTGATTCAACTGCTGGTTAATAAAAATTTCCTTGACAATTTAACAAAATATAGATTCAATTACAAAGCCAATAGAAGATCTTCAGGAATTTTAAATGAGGAAATGCCTATTTCATCAAATGAGGCTGATTTTTCTGAGCAATATTATTAAAGGTCAGTGCCACAGCTGTGCTGTGCTGAGCAGCTGTGTGAGCTCCCCAGAACAATGAACTGTCTGATTGGCATCGGACCTGGTCGTGCCAGCAGTTAGGGTGGGAGGATTCTAAACAGATGTAGAACAAGTAGCAATTGGGTCCTGCGTGGATGCCTTAACTATCGGGGAGTTCAAAGTAAATGGAATAAAGATAGTGCAATTTGAGGATAATATAGACATCCTGTGGAGACTAGAGTTGTGATGAGGAAAGAACAGAAAATGTTCCCTAAAGGCAACAGATACAGTCTCTTCAAAAGCATTAAATGAATTTATTTCTTCTGGTTTAAGAATATCAAAGTAGGAGGTTTTTTTGGCAGCATTTGCTGAAATGGTGGAAAAATTCACACAATCCCAATTTCTACTGGCAAGGTGATACTTAAATCCTATTTACTTAGATCTAGAATTCATCTTAGATTTTTATCAGCCTGGGGTAACATGATAAAATTTTTCCTTCCAGGAGTTTGGTCAGAAAATAAAGAAACATATGATGTGTTTTTCAAGTAGAACAAGTGAATCAGCAGGCTACAAATGCATGTGTGTGCTTCTTGCTAGTAAGTAGAGTTTATCATTTCACTCATTGTTTTCCATGTGTATACTTTCAGTATCACTGTTCAAATATATGATACGAAATATAGAAACAATATCTCTGGCATGTTCTTGGTTTATTTACTTCCTATCATGGATGTTTTTTCCCCCCTTGCCTTAATCGTATATGGTTTTGGGCCAGCAGGCATGGTTAAGGTACTGGATCCCACATAGCCAACTCCATGGTTGGAGTCCTGGACCTGGTGGCTTGAAAATCAGGCTGGGTGTATGTGCATATGTGTCCAAAACCCCAAGAGGGGAATAGAGGAAAGGGACTACATTGTGTCCATGCCCCTAGAGAATGATTTTCACTCTCCTCTCTCCCTCTTTCTCTCCCTCTCCTCCTTCTCTCTCTCCAAGAGGTGCCCTATAGCAAAAACTTAAAACAAAACAAAATTCTGCATACTTATCACTCGGCGTAGTCATTCCTCCCAATTACATCATCATCACATCCCGCCCCCCCCCTTCCTTTTATCCTTTTTCCTAACTCTGTTTAAAGCAGGTTGTTCCCAGACTTGAACTACAACAGTGGCTCTTCCCTAGGTCTCCAACTGCCAGCCCACTATAAAGATTTGGGACTTTCCAGTCATTCTTTTTCTTTTTCTTTCTTTCTCTTTTCTTTTTTTCTTTTTTTAAGATAGATTTTTTGCTATCAGGCACATCTGTTTGCCGGAGAGACAGATACGGAGAGAAAATGAGAAATCTTCCCCAGAGGAGATGCCACATTGCAGTCCCTCCTCCTCCATTTCTCTTCTCAGGATTTTGGGTACACAGGCACATGCACCCAGCATAATTTTCAAGCCACCAGGTCTAGGACTGGAACCATGGTCAGCTATGTGGGAGTCCAGTCCAGTGCCTTAACCACTATACCACCCATTGGCCTCTAGAAGTCAATTCTTTTAATTGAACAGAAATATTTTTCTGCATATATGTACAGATCCCATTGATTCTGTTACTCAATATGTGCAGAGAAGATTGATTATGAATGAAGGAAACTGATCAACCAAGACGGTCAGTTATACAGAACCAAGCATGTGTTTAAAGTCAGTAGATTCAGTGAACAATATAAAGAATGCCTATGAACAACATAAATGTATACTCAACACCTTAAGTCTACATACCCTACACACCTACATGGAATGTGAAAAACAAATATGGAATAGACCTTATATAAACTTTCTTGAATAAATATGAATTAAGATACATACATTTGGCATGCAGACATATATTAGTATTTATTAAGAAGATAGATGCAGATAACTTAGCTTCTTTTTTCTTTTCTTTTTTTTTGGGGGGGGGCTATTTTAACTTTTTATTAAGGGCTATAAAAATATCCAGAAACATAAATAAATGTGAAGCAATGATATCTGTCCTAATATGAAGAACTTTCTTTCACTGCATTGTTTTCCTTCACAATGGTCTTCGAATCACAGGAGGCAGTTATTCCATGCCATTTCCTCTGCTTTCATTACACGCTGCAGGATCTCTGAATCAATATCCCCACCCTTGGTCTTCTCATTTATAAATTAATTTCATTTTCCACCCATTGTTCAGAGGGAGCGTATTTTTCTCTGTTCCATGAAGAGGACTTTTCTGTTCAGCTGGTGCTTGTACGTGCATGCCCAAAATCCCGGAGGAGAATGGAGAAGGGATTGCAACATGACCATTCCCCTGGGAAGTGATTTCTGTCTCTCTGTCTCTTTTTGTCTGTCTGTCCAGAGAACACATGCACCTTATAGCAAAAATCAACAGGATCATAGTGCAGAACAGTCAGTTTCTCCCAGAGTCGGTGTCTCTTGGTGTTGAAGGAATAACCTGTCCCAGCTTGGCTTACCATTTTCACCAGAATGGTTTTTTGACTTGCTCTTGGCAAAGGAGACCGTGGAGAGGAACATGGCGGCTGCCTTCTTTTCTTTTTAATAACTTTTTATGTGGACATTTTTTGCACCAAAACATCAATCCTTATTTTTCACTACTCTTTAAGTCTTAAGCTGTTTAAAGGTCGTCCCTCAGTCTACTTCCTGTTGTTTCATATTTAAGTGGAAACCAAATGTCTCTAGATCTTATTTCTCCCATTAAATAGAAGAGCATATGTGAATGCAGAAAGCAAGCATTGAAAGTAATATTTGTTTTCTAAAGAGCTCTTAAATACCTTGAGAAGAGTTGCACAACATATTACAAAGATAATTGTATTTATAAGCATATGTTATTCTTTTAGTCATCACAAACTTTAAAATGTTTTTCTCTTTCCCAGCTCATTCTCTTCCCCCAGGATTCCCACCACCACCACATTCACATTCCAAAGTATTAAACCATATCTAGGATATTTTACTCCACCAGGTCATCTAAAGAACAGGTAATAAGAATGAGATCTCCTTCTGTCATTCATCCACCTCCTCAGTGGTTCTAAACCAAAGAATATTTCTGTAAATTACAATCTTTCTAGTGAAAAAAGGAAAGGTTATATATATATATGTGTGTGTGTGTGTGTGTGTGTGTGTGTTTGACAGGTTTTAGCTATAGGGCACATGTGCTCACCAGAAAGAGAGAGAGAGAACAGAGAGACAGAAAGTGAGAAATCACCCCCTGGGGGGATGGCCACATTGCAATCCCTTCTCCTCCGTTCTCTTCTTGGGATCTTGGGCATGCATGACATGCACCCAGCATGAGTTTAAGCCACCCAGTCCAGGACTCAAACCATGGTCAACTACATGGGAGTCCAGTGACATAGCCATTATGCTAAACTGCTGATTCCAAGGTTATATATTTTTATCAGTGAGTTTTTTAACTATAAATTACATTTTCAAAAATTATTTGATGACTTTTTTCTTTTTTTTTTAAATCTGGCCCTCTCAATGTAGTACCTATGTATTTATTCTGGTCTCCCCAGGTTTTCTAACCTTTCATATTATGCATTCTATCTTGAGCCATGTGGTTTTGTATTTCAGGAAAGCCTAACAATTTTCTCATGTAGCATTCTAACATGCGCTGCAATGTATGTAATAATGGTTTAGTGATAATTTAGCATAGCTTTTCAACCACCTCTTTTGTTAGCCCGTTTTATTGTTCTTTTCTTTTGTCTTTCTTACTGTAGTTACTCATACTTTTTAGAAGTTGGTGATATGCTACATCCCTCATTTCTGCCTCTTAAACCGCTACATACACATAATCTACAGCACCTGTTAGTGACTCTTTCAGCTTCTTAGGTAACTATGCTAAATATCACCAGCACCTAGATATCCTCCACTGTGAGGAGTTAAAAGAGGAATAGTCTATCTCCGTCTACACATAGACTACTCAGGCATAGGAACGGAGGCAGGACGTGGACTATGCACCAGTTCTGGGTCTACCACGGCTAAATTTCATGTGAGAAGAGTCCATTTTCATATTGACTCCCCAGTATGATTAAAGGTTTAAGTTTTTATTTTTATTCTTTTAAGAATAATAATGAGCTAGAATCCTGGCCCACTTATCTCAAATGATTACATAACATGTAGTTATCATTGGTAATAAAGAACGGAGAAGGAGAAATTCTCAGGAAATCTCTAGACTTCCTTTTAGGTGTAATTTAAACGTCAATGATAAAAATATTTAATCTAGCTTTCATTAAGGTCTTTTCTTTGGAACATTAATTCTGTTTTATGTCTTTAAAAAAAAAAGAAAATGAAAACTCTCTAAAGAAATAAGTTTGAGGAATGTTAAATTCAACAGGATTTAAACCACTTTCTTTATTGCTAGAGAGTTAGGAGCCTTTAATACCCCAGTGTGTACTGCGAATTTCTAAAAGTGGGATATTATATGCAGCATTTATCCAACGTATTGAACTAAAGAACCTTTTTTAAAGGATATTTTTAGAGAAGAATTCTATAGATCATACATTGGAAAATGCTGCTCAAGTTAGACCTTGTAATAATAGAAAATTGATATAATTGCATTAATTTAAAAAAAATTTCCTGGTAAACCTGCCAAATGAGAGCAAAATATCCTATGGGCAAGTAAACATATGGGACAGGAAATCCAAAAAGTTGTAGATAATCAGTGTGCAAATGCTTCAGAGTGAGCTATACTTTAGTAATAATTGGCCTCCAGATTGTTCTAGAAATATGTGATTGATGGGAAATGTAAATTAACACATTCCCTACCAAACACCTTTTTAAAACTGCTACATTTCCTAAGCACTAATGCTTCCTTCTCTCTCTCTCCAGAGCCAAGGGCACTTTTCACCAGTATCCAGTCTGCTAGTGGCTGGGAAAGGGTCCAGCAGAGCCATGGGCAAGCACTCTCCTACTCGAAGTGAGTGATCACATTGATTAGTAGCTGCTCTGTAGGAGATGGGAGACAGATGCCTGGTTCTAATTACAGTTTTAGCACCTTCCACTCCACATTTCCCTGCTGCTGAGGGTGCTGTAAAGTCTCTGCAGATGCTTCTCTGCTGAACTTTATTGTGAATACAAAATAGTATTATTACTGCACAAGAACTTGAAGTATAGGCTAAATTCACATGGTACAGTCCCATACTTTGCCTAACACAAAGGAGAGATTTATTACTCCTTATTAACCCAGAGAAGTTGAGGCTAAGCTGTGAGTCTCTAATAACTTCATTATCTCATACTATATCCTGAAAAAGCAAAGAGTAATACCTGTGCAGATCATCCCTGGGATCTTTACTCAATGATCATGAGAAAGTGGAAGGGCCAAGGAAAGAAACAAAGGAGTTATAATCAGGGAGTAGAGAGTCATTTCCTGAAAAAAAGCTCTTTTATTTTAATGGACTTCCAGGAGTACCTCCCTAACACCTGTCTCTTTCACTGATTCTTTCTCTTCACTTTATATGAATACTGTTTTATTTCCTAAATGTGTATTTCCTAAATCAAATACTCTTTCCCCTCTAACCGCTCTCCATTGGAACTCTAATCCACTCCCCATGGACTCAGCCATCAAATCTTAACAAAGTTAAACCACTAAAACAATCATGCCTGGCTTCCCTCATGAACTGTAAAACCATATTTTCACTTTTGTGACAAATAGTTTCACATTGATATTTACCTGGTGGTTCAAATTAGTATATCAAACATAGAACAATTCTATCCTTATTTCCCTAAATCCACATTTCTCAAAAAAATTTTAAAAAAGCCTTATGTATTTCACATGTTTACATTGGTTACAAAAAATTTAAATATCCCTTATATTCAACAAGTATTTAATGAGAGCCAATTATAAGCAAAAACCTATTCTAGGGACTAAGTGTATCACAGTAACAAAGCAGAAAAACAATTTCAGCCCTCCTGGAGTTGATGTTCTACTAAATTGTGACAGAAAATAAACACAAGCCAAACACATTCTATTTTAGAATGTAATAATGTTATGAGAAAACTTTAAGCAGAGGAAAAGGCTCTGAAGTGGACAAATGTTTGATATGTTTTACAAATATCAAAGAAACCAAATGAGACCAAAACACAATGAACTAGGAGAAAAAGAAAAATAAGATAGTTCAAAAAAATAGTGGGATCTGATAATAAGGTACAATTGTTCTCAATTCAGGCTACCCCTTATTGTTAACTCACTGTGTGTTTAGTTATCTAAAATTTGTTTAAAATGTCAATACCCAGAGCCCATACATGACTTTTTTCAATACAATTTTTAATTCAATTCCATTTTTTATTGTTATTTTAAAATTTGACCAGAGAGAAACAGAGAGAGAGAAAGGGAAAGCGAGAAAGCAAGCTGCCAGTTCTGGGACTCAAACTGCAGTCACCCATGTGGGAATCCAGTGCCTTTAACCACCACACCATCTGCTGGCCTCCAGATATGACTTCTAAAAATTAGAAAGGTGGGATCAGCAGTTGCCGTAATGGCTACACTGGACTCCCATGTAGTTGACCACTGTTCAAGTCCCAGACCCAGTGGCTTAAATTCACGGGGGACAGGATTTCTTGCTTTTTGTCTCTCTGTCTCTCTCTCTCTCTGTCTTTCTGGCAAGTGTGTGTGCCCTATAGCAAAATCCTCTCAAAGAAAAAAAAAAAAGAGTGGCTAAGTATGAGACCTTGATATTGGTATATTTTTTTATTATGTTCATTCTATTTAGCTCTTCTTTTAGCAAAAGAGAAGGAATGAGAGGGAAATCACTCCAGTGGGGTCCTGATTCATCTTCAGCCTTCAGGCACTCCTAGGTTATGGATGAGCATGTACCTGGTATACTCAGGGAGGTCTCCAGACTGAAACTGGAAACTTCCCTTTGTGGGATGGCCTCACAGAACATCGTGTTTGCTGCACAACCAGCTAGCCCCATGTTACTGGTATCTTTCAGAAGTTCCCAAATTGATTTTTATATGCAGCCTATGTCAAGAACCACTGAAATGTGGGTTTGCCAGTAGTTACAACAGCTTGGTCTTCTACTCTGAATCAGACAGACTGTTCTGTCAGAAAAGGAACATGATCTTGCATACATTGTTGTAGGATAGCTCTGGCTGGTATGTGGAGAATAAATTGTGGGTGAAAGTGACAAGGATGTAGCAGGGAGATCACTTTTGGACTCTAGCAACAATTCAAGTGAGAGACAGTAATAGCATGGGCCAGGGTGGATAGCCCTGAAGGTGGTAAGAAGTTGTCAGTTTCTGGCTATACTTAAATTTGGAAGGCAACATCAAAAGGATTTGCTGATGCATCAGATGTGTGTGTCAAAAAGAATTAAATGATCACTCAAAAAGATTTTGGCCCAAGAAGGATGCAGTTACCATAGCTGAGGTGAAGAAGACTGTGGGAGGAGGCTTAGAAAGGAAGATTGAAAGTTGCTTTTGATGTTGGTATATCTTTTATATTTCTAATGGACTTGAAAAAGTGAAAACATTCAAGACTATGAAGTAGACAAATGAACTGAAATTTAAGACAAATGTCTAGGTTAAGTGAAAGATGGATTTGGGAGGCATCAGCAAATAGATAGTTTTAAAGCCAAAGGACTGTACAAAGTCACCTAAGACGTGAGTGAAATGAAGAAGAAAGCTGTGCCAGGTCTGCCTACCATCTAAGCTCAGGGAGATGAGTAGCCAATAGAGGGAGGAAGTGAACCAGCAGGAGTAGTGGGAAGGAAGGGAAAGAAGTATTTCAAAAAAATCACCTTCATCTAGTGCTACGCTTAAGACAGATAAGAACTGAGTATTGCTTATTGGATTTAGTAATATAGACTCTATTGGTTTACTTGAAATGAGTAGTTTTAATGGAATTAAATGGAGGGCAAAAAGAAATGTTAGTGTAAGCTCAAGAGAAAACTGCAGGAGACAACTTGCAAACAATTTTTGATGAGTTGTGCAATAAAGGAAAGTAGAGAAATGTACTGGTAGCAGAAGGGAAAATGAAGCTTCGAAAAAGTATGTGGTATGCTTATTGTTACTGGAGAGATTACAGCATATTTTGTAATAATACAAGAGTCAGAACCAATGCTGAATATTCGTCCTTGAGTAAAGGAAAGGTGATGCACAAGAGGCTGAATATTGCTAAGAGCACCAACATCCCCCCCCCACAAGAAACAAGATGGAAAGGCAAAGATAAGGGAGGCTGAGAAGATACGATGGTAAAATTCAATGGAATTTTTTTAAAAATTACATACCACTAAGTTTTGCAGTGTTTCTCAATTCTTTTCTCCCATGATACAGTTCTAGGTCAAGATATAGTGTGCCTTACAAAATGACTCTGTGAGCCATCAGATGGTGTGGTGGTTAAGGGTGCTGGCCTCCCACATAGCTGAGCATGGTTCGAGTCCCAGACCTGACAGTTTGCTTTATCACTTTCCCTTTCTCTCTGTCTCACTATGTCCCTTTCTGTTCAAATTAACATGAATAAATGAAATTAAATAAAATAATTTTTAAAAAATCACTTTCTAATCCTTCTAGTTTAGATAAATGCAATTATTTACTTGTGACTTTTTTTTAGTGCTAAAGTAACTTAGCTCTCAGCCTCCTATGCCATCCATATGTCTTTGAATTTAGTGACTTGCTAAACAATTATCCTTCAAAAATAGATTATACATTGTGAAAAATAACATCCTATTTGCACCTACTATAAGAAAATCATGAGTCAAATATAATAAAATTTCTCTTCCAAGCTAAGAGCCTTTGCATACTTCTTCCCCTAGTTCCTAGTTTTCCAAGAGAGCTTTAATCATCTTATTCCAACTGACTTCAAGTCAAAGTAAATAAAAGTGAAAAGAAAAGAATTGTGCATCACTCTTTAATGTGTGCAAGACTAGTTATGTAATTTCAAAGGGATCTACTAGAACTATTAGGTTGGATTCTCCCTTATATAGGATACTCCCTTATATAGGAGAATGTTTCATTCGTTAATAGAAAAAGTAGAGTCTACTGAACTATTGGCTATATGTGTATTCCACAGAATAGTGACATTCACAATTACAGAAACACAGGTTTTAAGTTTACACACTCATCCTATCCATCATACAGAGAGACCGAGGCAGAAGCACCCCCCAAAAGGTCCCCATACAGTAATCCACCCCCAGTTTCAACCAATCCTTATCATTTGCATGAATGCTTATGACCAGTTTGCACAGGGAGCACCAGGCTGTGACTCTGGGACGCCCTCCTGTGGGCATCACAGAACTCTCCATCACCACTGAACAACTCAGTGGTCAAGAAATGTCTCTTCCATGTAATGGCTAAAAATAACATTTGGAGGGAACCAGCAGTTAGTGTAATGGCTATGTCGCTGGACTCCCACATAGTCGACCGCGGTTCGTGTCCCGGACCCGGTGGCTTAAAACTCACGCCGGGTGCGTGTGCGTGCGTGCCCAAGATCCCGAGAGGAGAATGGAGGAGAAGGGATTGCGGCACGCGCCCTACAGTGAAAATCTCTCCAAAAAAAAAAAATAATAATAAAATAAAAAAATAAAAAAATAAACATTAGGATTAATTACTTTTTTTTTTTTTTGGAGGGGTTTTTGCTATAGGGCGCCTGTGATCGCCAGAAAGACAGAGAGAGACCGAGAGACAGAAAGTGAGAAGTCACCCCCCAGGGAGGATGGCCACACTGCAATCCCTTCTCCTCCATTCTCCTCTCACACGCCCGGCGTGAGTTTAAGCCACCAGGTCCAGGACTTGAACTGCGGTCAGCTACATGGGAGTTCAGCGACATAGCCATTACGCTAACTGCTGGTCCTGATTAATTACTTTTTTAATACCGTAAAACAACGTTTAGAAAACTGTGCAATTAAGGTTTTCTTATTTTATTAAGAAGAGCTTTTTTGAGTGCTCTTAAACTGTGTCTGGTGTTACGGGATCATGTGACAAAGTCCATATACAGATCTAACTTCCACAATTTCCAGGAACCCCACTGGAGCTGGGGTATAAGGAAAGGAGCACACTAAAACTATTGAGGAGCATATAGTTGAAATTTTAATTGATAAAAACAGTGTAAGTATGACTTTAACTGATGAAATTTACTACAATATAAATCTTATGTGGGCAAGAACTTGGAATTTTTTAAAAACAATTCTAGTACTGATGCCTAAATCAATAGTCATTGCCTATTAATATGTATCTGTTAGGATATATAGAATAATGAATCTATAGCTCATTTTACCTGCTTAAATGTATAAGACTATCGTCTTCAATTACTACAATATATGCCAAAGGTTGAGCTAACACTATGATAGTGCCTGTCTTCTTTAGTTGGGAATTATTACTAGCTGAATATCTTCCAAGTTTAGTTTTCCAGATCTCCTAGGGATTATCTGAGCTACTCAGTTTTCTTGAGTAAATTCTTTTTTCAACTTAAATGTGTCAGAGACTATTTTTGTTTTCAAAAGCTAAGAATCCTGAAAGGTAAAGGATCCCTGGGCTCCTAGGTGCCCAGGAGAGGTTTCATCCCCAGGATACAGTCTTGATTTGACAGCTGGGGCCCCATCTCTTCTTTATTGGAACATTCCTCCCCTATGGTAGAAGAAAGGATTCTGCGAGAGAATTGGGATGAATTGTGAATCTGATGCTAATAATACTTTGTACTTTCCTTGCAACTTTTATTCCCCACAGAGCTCAAAATGTTTTACAAACCCAGCATTTTGTTCTGTGGCTATTATTCCCAAGGATATTACACTTGAAGAGAATATATATTTCTAGAAAAATTGCCAATGATAATAGAAACTGAATCAAATCTTGCCTTTGACCCAGAGCTAAAAGAACATTCTCTCTCTAGCTTGATGACATTAATAATCATGAGGGTGATATTTTAATACTACATGTATTCATTATAGGAGAAATAGCTCAAGAATCAGCCCTCTAGTCCTCCAGTTATTTTGACTACTTTGACCCTTCGATGAGGATCCAAGACAGGTCTATTTTTACAATTGTTTTGAAAGGTGTTGTTTTGGTATTCCTGAGAGTTGGTAGTAATTATTTCAAATTTTGTTACTTTCAAAGAATGCATACACAAAATTTAAAAAGGGCCATCTCTTTTGTGCCTCTTTAGACATAAAAAAATAAAATTCTGCTAAAGCAAAATAGAAAAAAATTTTATGTATGTAACCTCTAGGATTTGATTTATTTTACACAGGTAACCTAGAAAATATATTTTGATATTCCCCTCCCCATCATTGACATCCATATTCTTAACTTTAGTTTGGATGTATTTGGAAGCAATTAACACATTATAGATTAAATAATTTTTGTTAAAGGCAACCTTCAAGATGGTCCCCAGTGACCTCTGCTTCCTGCTGGTCACACTTTTATGCAGGCCCACTGAACTAGGGATGGTTTGTATGATACTAACATAGGTTGTAAGAAACAGTATTCTACTTCAGGGATTAAGTTATAAAACTGCAGTCATCTGAGTTTTTCTCTGTCATGTGCTCTCCCTCTTTTCTACCTGTCTCTTCCATTGTGAAAAATTCATGCAGGGAGAAACTTCCCCTAGCCTCTGGCCAACAGGCAGCATAGCCCTAATAAACTGAGGTCTGCTAACACCCTTAGAAATGAGATTAGAAACAAATTTTCTAGCCCAGTTGAGCCTAGAGCTGGCCACAGTCCCACTTGAAAACTTGAGTGCACCCCAGTGAGTCAAAACCGTCTGTCTAAGGCTGCTCGTAGATTCTTTGCCCTCAGAAATTGAGTAATATAATACACTTTTTTTGTTTGTTTTATGTTGCTAAGTATTTGCAGTACTTTGCTACACAGTGAGAGCTAGCTAACACCATTTCCCTAGCGCCAATTTGTTAGAGAATTTTGTTGTAAATCATTGTCTAGGTTTACATTTGGTTTTCACATGGTACATTGAATTAGGGATGCCAAATTAGTGATCGTCCAAACTAATCAGAACTTCCAACTTCAATTTTATTTACAATTCACTTTTAGCTATTGGTATATTCAAAAAAATAAAATGAAAAAAGAAGACAACTTTGGCTATCATTAAAACAAATAAAGCCCTTTATGTATTTAAGTCTATTGATTATTTTTAAAGTATTTTTTTAATTGGCCACAGGGTGCGTGCACTCACCAGAGATAGTGAGAAAAACAGAAAGTGAGAGCAATCCCCATGCGAGGTGACCACACAGCTATTGGTATATTCAAAAAAATAAAATGAAAAAAGAAGACAACTTTGGCTATCATTAAAACAAATAAAGCCCTTTATGTATTTAAGTCTATTGATTATTTTTAAAGTATTTTTTTAATTGGCCACAGGGTGCGTGCACTCACCAGAGATAGTGAGAAAAACAGAAAGTGAGAGCAATCCCCATGCGAGGTGACCACACTGCAATCTGTCCACTGAGAGAAATCCCCATGCGAGGTGACCACACTGCAATCTGTTCTCCTCCATCCCTACCTCCTTTTGGGATTTCAGGCCTTTGTACACACACGCATAGTTATTTTCACGCTGTCAGTTCTATAGGCTGTGTAGAATAAAGCCGCATTAACTACCACATCACAGGCTGGTGGCTTTATATTACTATTAAAATTAGTTTAGTTTTCTATATTTTTATAAACAAAGATGTTGAACATGAAGGAAATTCCTCGGGGAAGTCTGTTTTGTTTTTTGTTTTTTGCTTTTTAAAAAAACATTTGTTAAAGGGCACATACACTTGTCAGAGACAAATAAAGACAGAGAGAGAGAGAGCACTTGCCCAAGGGGGATGGCTACACTGCACACTTTTCTCCTCCATTTTTCTTTCAGGATTTTAGGCATGCACACACAAGTGCCAAGTGTGTTTTTTAAGTCACCAGGTCCAGGACATGAACCAATATGACCAGGTGTGATCTAGCCACTTTAACCACCATACCACCATTTAGACCAATCTGAATTATTTTATATCAAACCTTAAAAGTTTCTTAATTCTTTTAAGCCATTATGGGGCAAATGGTGTGCAAACCACGGGGCAGGTATTGTCCTAGGCACAGGGAAAAATACATTAATAAACAAACAAATTAAAAAACTTCTACTTTCAGGAACCAGCAGTTAGTGTAATGGCTATGTCGCTGGACTCCCACGTAGTCGACCGCGGTTTGTGTCCCGGACCCGGTGGCTTAAAACTCACGCCGGGTGCGTGTGAGTGCGTGCCCAAGATCCCGAGAGGAGAATGGAGGAGAAGGGATTGTGGCGTGACCACCCTGGGGGGTGATTTCTTGCTTTCTGTCTCTGTGTCTCTCTCTCTGTCTGGCAAGCGCACGCGCCCTACAGTGAAAATCTCTCCAAAAAAAAAAAAAAAAAACTTCTACTTTCAAGAAATATATATTCTGGTAATTTCTACAAGGTATTTAGGACAGGGGAACAGCAAATTCCTTAGTCAAATGTTAGGAAGTTCATTACCCCTGGAATATCACATTCTTTCATCAAATAAAATATTTACATTCTGTGGAACTTGGTCTGCTTATGAATGATGTCCAATGGTTTTAGCTGTTTCCTTTAAATGATACATTGTACATCTTCACCTTTTATTATGTAGATGCCCTTCAAATAACTGAAGGATAGCTATTATATTTCTTTGTTACATGTTATCCCATGCTCATTTTTTTTTCCAACCTGGCTAAAAGTTTAGCAATTTTATATGCAATTTTTATAATCGTTTCAAAGAATTATTTAATTTTATTTATTCTTTTTTAAATTTGCTACTGGGCACATGTGCTCACCAGAGAGAGACAGAGAGACATGCAGAGAGAAAGAGAAGGTGAGAAAGCAAGTCAACAGGTCTAGAACTCAAACCATGGTTTGCCATGTGGGAATCCAGTGCCTTAACCACCAGGCTGCTTGCTAGCCATTCATATGTATTTTCTGGAAATCCAAATGTCTTCAATTTAGATAACAGCAATCACTGTAGGCTAAATGTATTTTTGTTTGTACATTTTTGCTTTATGACAAACGGTACTGTTTCATACCATTGCATTATTTAGTTATTCCCTTCATATTCATTACTATAGCAAGACCTACACATATAGTATCTGCTCTTTATTTTGTGATTGGAAAACTGAATTTTGCAATGATTTGCATGTTAACATGGTGCAGGTCTTAAAGATGCTCTGTTCTGGCTTTGCTTTGGTGTCACAGGCTGAAGAGCAGTTCTCATGATGACATCTTGTGAAGAGGCTGTTTGGAAATCTGATAAGGGTGACTCAATATAGTGAGAAGGACTTGTTCCACCTGCCAGGAATACATAGATTCAGTGAAAAGCTTGTCAAGCCTAAAATACAGCACCTTGCAGGTAAAAAATGATATTCAGAATATACAGTTAGGAAAAAAAAATGAAGGTTAGCAGTAAAAGTCAGTAAGAGGCCAGAAAGGAAAAGGACACTTGTTTTTAAAACATTTTTATCATTTTGAATGGGATACCTGTTTTTGATGGCCAAATTTAATGGTTGACAACAAAACATGTTTTAAAGACATTGTCAGCAAAAATAAATAGTGATCAATTTTCTTCCAAATGCAAAATAGCTCTGAGTGCATCATCTTGGAGATTTCCATTGCCTGTCAGTGACTCAGACTACATCCAACTGTAGCTTTGCATTTTCTCCAAATTTGAGAAGGCAGTATATGACTCATTGATAGACAATGGCAAACTCTCCTCAAGATAGCAGGGTGCAGGAGAAACAAACATCTGGGAACTAAGCTGTGAAGAGCTAATTTAAGAGTTAAGATGCTGCTGTCCACCTCCGTCTGTACATCTCTTCCCCTGTAAGGTGTTTATTTGTTCTTTCCTAGTAAGAGAAAAACAGATATTGTGAACATGGAAATAACCCTTGGATTGCTAAATCGGCATTTTCAATGTCGTAGCACTAAGTTCATCCATTTTCCTCTCATAAGCAAGGTTGAAATATGCTGATTTGTTATAGTTGATGTTATTCATGTTTGTAATACAAGGAAGCATAGTAATTTTATTTCATTTTATTTTTTATTTTTTGGAGAGGTTTTTGCTATAGGGCGTGTGCACTCGCCAGACAGAGACATAGAGACAGAAAACGAGAAATCACTCCCCAGGGGGGATGGTCACGCCATAATCCCTTCTCCTCCATTCTCCTCTCGGGATCTTGGGCACGCACTCACACGCACCCCGTGTGAGTTTTAAGCCATCGGGTCCAGGACCTGAACCGCGGTCGACTACGTGGGAGTCCAGTGACATAGCCATTACGCTAACTGCTGGTTCCCGGAAGCATAGTAATTTTAAAACATAGGAATAAAAAGGGGTTGGATGGTGACACAACAGTGAAACACAAGGTTCCACAAGTTGACTTGCATGAGAAGGTTCCAGGTTCATGTCTGGAGACCTCCCTGTATATGTTGGACATGCCCATATGTCCATGATCAGGGACCGGTTGAAACTAGGAGTGCTTCATAGTACCAAGGTCCTGCTGGATCTCTCTGACTTTGTCTCTCTCTCTGTCTCTTCACTATGGAAGAAATAAAGAAAGCAATTTTTTAAAAGTTCGTTTAAAAATAGGAATAAAATAAAGGACTGGCAGAGAACCACAATACAGTACACATTCACCCATATTAATATACTACTCTAAAACTAAATTATTTTGATTTTATCAAATCTTAAATATATAAACTTCTACTTTTATGCAGTTCTCTTCATATGATGGTTGTATCCTACTGTTTATTTTAATACATGTTGCTTTCATGTGGTCTCAATTGAAAAAAAAAGGTAATGTGCTTCAAGTTGATATTATATATTTCTGATGGTTCTTTGACACCCTAGTTATTTTTTATAAAGCATGATGTATACATTTTGTACGCTACAAATGTTAACAAAAGTCATTTTTTCTTATGTACAAAATAATAATTAATTTTTTTTCTACTTACTAATGTATGCTCACAGAATCAAAAATTAAATGCCATTCATAGGTAAGAAAATTGTTCCTGTTTTGAAATCCAGTTTTACCATAGTATTTAGTCAATAATGTCTAATGAATAGCTATATTTTATATCACATCATGTTTAACTATACTTTCTCAATGGTTGCTCCCATGGACCAAAAAAATGATATAATGTATGAAGATTCCCAACATAACGTGTCTCTAGAACAGATTACTTCAACAAATATGTAGACTATAATAACTTTCTATGGAGTGGCCCTTTTGTTGTTATTCTTGCAGTGGGATATGTATCTGTGCATATATATATATATAACCTGTTTTCTCTAAAATTAAAATGATAAAATCTGAGCACTTGGTTGGTGTTTTTGAGAGACCCTAAGTTCAGCTTCATGTGAATACAGCCGATCCTTCTTAGCCTCCTGAAAAGTCAACTTCTCTTTTCTGCCTGAGCACTTTCATTTTTTGTACTTAAAAAACAAATTTAAAAATAAATAAGTATTGGTTATAGGGAATAACTCAAGTTTCCAAAGGAAAAAGGTACAGCCATTTGTATTTTAAAAGTCTTTTGATGAAAATATTAAGGATGTACATTAGAGTTGGGAAACTTACTGCAAAATCAGTAAGCAGGCTATTACAGCAGTCCAAGGGAGAGATAAAGGTCTGTTTTAAATATAAAGTGGGTCAACAAAGAGAAAACAAGAAAAAAAGAAAGAAGAAAGAAAGAAAGAAAGAGAAAGAAACAAAGAAAGAAAGAAAGAAGGAAGGAAGGAAGGAAGGAAGGAAGGAAGGAAGGAAGGAAGGAAGGAAAGAACTATTAAAACAATATAATTCAATAACAGCCAGAAATCTTCTCCTTTTAAATGTGCTCATTCTATACTCATTTTAACTCCTATTTTTGGGATTCCTACATATAGTAAGTTTAGTTAAACTTTTATGATTAACACATGAGTCTTTTCACTTAGGAAATAACATGGAATAAAAACACTCAATCCTTTCCATTAAAGCTTTTAGAAGGAAAAGACAAATATTTTAAATTGGCATCCTTTGAAGTGAACAAGTTAAAATATCACAAAGTAGCGTTTTTGTAGACAGTTGGCTATGTTGACTATTGGCTGAATTGTATTATATTTTTTTATTTTCTTTTTAGATGTCTTTTCCATAAAGCACATGTGCTCACTGGAGAGAGACAGAGAGAGAGACAGAGAGAGGGAACATGAGCAATTATGCCCCTCAGGGAGGGAAGTTCAGGGGGAGGCCACACTACAAACCCTTTTCCACTCTCCTTTTGGGACTTTGGCTATGCACAAACATATGACCAGTGCGTTTTTTTTTTTTTTTTTTTTTTTGAACTGTTGGGTCTGGAACTTAAATTGCAAAGTCAGCCATGTAGGATATATCTGCCTTAACCACTGTGCCACCAGCTAGCCCATTAGTTAAATTTTAGAAAACTAATTTAAATTTCCACTGGTTATAATCAAAATTTCTATATCACAATACCCTTCTTTCTTAGACTTAAACTACTCAACCAAGCATGCTTTTCTTCTAGTCAATGACTTTTAGAAATCTATTTTTTTTCTTTTTTTTTTTTTTT